CTCGTCAGCCAACCAAGCTTCCTTACACGGCCTAAGAAAAGCTGGAATCAGCGAAGTTATGGCCATTCAACAACTGTCCCGTAACTTTCTGAGAGATCATGCCCGGCAGTACTGGTAATGCAACTGTGTCAGTAGGTACTGTAAACTGGGCAAACATAAAAGTGGAAGTATCAGTAGAGGTGTCAACAGTAGGGGTCTCAAGTTTCTCAGTAGTAGGCATATCAACAATAATACTAGGGCACCCGTGACAGAAAAATAACTTTAAAATAAATAGAGGGATAAGATAAAGGAGAATAATATACCTCCAGTCGAACAGTAGCGACAAACAAAGAAGGTCTAAAAAGCTCCTAAATAATCAGGTTACGGTGCTCAGAAATTCAGTAAATATAAATAATTGATCTACGACATCAAGAGCAGATCAACGGAGAAGAGGATTCAACTCCATTTAAAAGGGCTCAAATGCTGCGGCACTATGACAAAGAGCGTGAAGCATGAAAGCAAAAAATGAAGCTGTAACGAAGAGTGCGACTCGACAGTAGGCTAGTCTAGGTTTGGGCAGTGGGGTGCGGTGAGGTGGGTTTGGACAGTGGGGTTTGGGCTGGGTGTTTGTCGCTAGGTTTGTGGGCAGTGGGTTTTGGGCTGGGTGTTTGTCGTTGGGCTTGTGGGCAACAGGGCTGGGCTGTGGGCTAGGTGTTTGTCATTGGACAAGGGAGGCTTTTGGGGTTTGTTTGGGTTTATGCTTGGCTGTCAGTGCTTGGGCAGTGGGTCAGTTAGGCTTGGTTTGCTGGTTGGGTTTTGGGTTTTAGATTGCAGGTGATATGTGGGTGCAGTCGGTGGTGGTTTGTCAGTCGGTGCTTGGGCAGTGGGTCAGTTGGGCTTGGTTTGCTGGCTGGGTTTTGGGTTTTAGATTGTAGGTGATATGTGGGTGCAGTTGGTGGTGGTTTGTCAGTCGGTGCTTGTTGCTGTCAGTGGATGGACTGGGGTTGGTTGTCGTTGCAGGCGATAGACAGTAGGGGTACAGACAATCTTGGTTTTAGATTGCAGGTGTTATTGTTGCTTTCGGTGGGTGTAGGCAGTCGGTAATGAGGCAGCAAGCTGGTTTGCTGGTTTTGTATTCAGTTGGTGGAATGGACTGAAACAGTAGGGTGAGATTCTAGTTGTTGGTGCTGTGATGTCTTGTTGGTTGCTATGTCTGATAGGGGCTAGAGTTAAGGTTAGGGTTAGGGTTGGTGGCTCTGATACCAACTAAAAATATTTGTGAATGAATGAGATACAAACTAAGTGTAGAGTCCCCGTATATATTGCCAATGAAAGTTAAAATAAGAATAAAAAGATAAAAAAGGAAAAACTTAATAAATTCTAATAAACTAGGCTGGTGCTATATCTCCAACAATATCATTTCGTACCAACAATATATTCACAATCTAAAGCAAATCACATTGGTATCAAACTCGCTTTCGATACTCAAATGAACTCCATATATAAAAGTAATGAATATACCACACAAGCCAACATTCAAGATTTAAGCAGTGTCAAGTGCTATTTAACAACATTTGCGCCATATCAGTCATCTTGCAACATTTAAGCATTGTTAGGCTATGATACAATTGCTTAAACCGCAAGGTCTTCTCTAAGAGATAACTAATCTATGATTTGTTTAACTCAACTCAATTAAATTGATCAAAACTTGTTTTCAATTAAAAAGATAAAGTTCATATGCCATATAATTTTATTTCTAAATAGTATGAAGCCGTACAATCTTACCTGTTACCATCAGTCAATATACTACGAATGTACAATTGTGATTCGTCAGTGGAACCGATGTCGGTGTCTTAGACCCCGGACCTAGCACATATCACATCATTATGTCCATATTTATACAGAGCCTATCAGCTTATAAGAATGCACAAACATGCATGTGATGCCCATATTTGGCATAATGTTTCTTCCATACTTAAGCTTCACAATTATTTTTTCATAAATATGTCCTGATTTTCTTTAGAATCCACTTTAGTGCACTAAATGATTCTTTTAGCATTCAAACAATATTATTTATCCCAAAGTTGATTTTCAGCCCTCAAACAAATAGTTTTACTATAATTGAAAGTATTCCAGCCCTTAACTACAATATTAATGATGTTTTACCCATTTTTGGCACATTGCCATAATGTTTGGGATGCCAATTAAGTCATTTGCAGTTTGAAAAGCATAAATTCAGCCATATGTTTCAATACTAGACATCATTTTTCAACACTTAAAGCTGCTATTTCAGCATCCAAATGAAAATTCCAGCGTCTATTACGAATTTAGCAGCTTAATATTAGCACTTAAGTTTACTTGCATTTATGTTCCAAGAATTTAATTTCAGCTTTTGTTTTACATTTTCAGCAACTTACATGCGGACAACTTTATTTCCAGCAATGGAATTTGAACAGTTCAAGTTAAAACCCCACTTATCTAATCCTCAATTTGGCAACGATCAATATTAGCCTGAAGTTGCCAAAATTAATCTCATTCAATTCTTTTTAATAAGCATAAAAGAAAATCAAGAGTGATTTCCCTCCTAATCGATGCCCTTTCTCTTTCCTTCCTTTCTGATCTATTTACTCTCTTTATTTCTTAATCTTGACATGTGGGCGTTAACTCTCGAATCAGTAATCCAAGACGGTGAAGCTAATTGGGCTGCTGCATGTGCAACACAAGGATCAAAATTTCGTTTCGAAGTACCGTTTCGGTCAACTCAAAAATAGAAACGTTTCGGAAACATTTCGGAAAAGCAATGGAAACGCAAAAAAAATATGGAAACGCATAGAAACACAAATGCAATCCATTAATTTATAAAGATATGCTAAATAATTTATTAATTCAACATATTTATTAGGTTAACATCAATTTATACAAGAATAAATTTAAATTTGAGGGAAAAAAAGGCTTGACTTGAGGCGAAAGTCACTTAAATTAGTTTCAAACACTTAATTTTTATGAAATAAACACATTTTTACATAATATTAACGTCTTATAATACACATGAAATGCTAATGAGTACATACTTACATGATTACATCCATTCCCCTGTGGAGTGTCGAACAGGCTCATACATCGGTGTAGGCTCTGGGTAGCTACTTAGAGAAACTCCATATGTGACATAAATATGATGACAATAGTTACTCCAAATCATATTATTATGGTAATATAATCCAATTAATAATACTATTTTATTATAATACTAATAATGAAGGGTATCAAATTAAATTAATGATACTTATGTATACTTAAAAATTAAATGTAATTGCAGTGGGTATTAAATGTAATTACAGTAGGTATTAAATATAATTACATTAGGGTATTAAATGTAATTGTTAATACTTATAACAAAAAAAAAAAGCAAAAAACTTGCACAGCAGTGAGGTATTAAATATAATTACAGTATGTATTAAATATAATTATAATGGGTATTAAATATAATTATAGTAGGGTATTAAGTGTAATTATTTATTCTTATAACAAAAAATTATAAAAGACAGAAGAGCAGTGGGAATTAAATGTAATTATAGTGGGATATTAAATATAATTATAGTGAGTATTAAATGTAATTACAGTGGGTATTAAATGTAATTATAATGGGGTATTAAATGTAATTATTCATAATGAACCGAATATATCACTGTTTTGTCGAAACGGTTCGAAACAATGTCGTTTCGACCGAAACGGTCCGAAACTGTACCGTTTCGACCGAAACACTGGAATTTTGTGATTCAACTACTGTTTCGTTTCGGAGTGTTGAAATTCCGAAACGTTTCGGACGTGTCGACACGACATTTTGATCCTTGGTGCAACATTACCTACAGTGGCCAAACCGGCAACTAAAGTAGGCAAATGGAGAGAAAACGAAGACAACTATTGGATGAGCTAATTGAACTAAAAAGTAAGATCATCATGAGAGCCAGATGTGAATGTAGCAAGTCCACAAGTCGTTGGCTGAGATATAGGAAGAGTCATGTCATCAGAAACCTGATTAGCATAAGTTGATTTTTCATATTTATCCCATCAGTAACCCTCAATATGTCCAACAGTTCCACAATAAGAACATTTCCACTCAAAACGATTATCATGACCACCACGTCCTCACCGACCAGTGCCTCTACCACCATGTCCACCATAACCACAACTATGACCACCATGACTATCGTCATTAGAGAGTAAAGCAGATGACTCATGTGAGGATGAAGGAGTCTCATGAATCAAACAGATTCTTTGGAGACAAGAATATGCATTGGCAATAGTTGGAAGTTTCTAGGCAAACCATATTCAGAATTAAGGTTCGATAAGAGTGAAGCAACTTGAAACTCTTTAACATTGTCGTTGTTGTATCTCTAGATCCACATTCAATTGGTAAAGTAAACGTTCCTCCCATAACCTTTTCAAAGTGCCATAATGCTCAGCTAGAGACTTATTGTCTTGTTTGATATTAAATATGTGCTTAAAAAGTTCATAGATTCGGGATAGTTCCTGGCAAAAGGCTTGTTTGGTGGCATTGAACACAACAAGTAGGTTTTGAGCTTCCTAAGAGGATACATCTTCTCTAACCAAGTAATGGCTACTGTATGATGCTATCTACTATTGCAGCTGGTCTCAAGCCTGAATGAGTGGATGGAGGTGTGAGATGAAATTTGCTAAATGTGATTTTCATCAAAGCCATACAGAGTTGAATTTAGGAATTCAGGAAGTATCTACAAATTGACCCACAACGTTATGTTTTTCCCATCTTGTTATTTTGGTTGTGCTTATTTTTTCAGCTTTGTAATTATTGTGGTAAAATTATTGAGTATTTGTCATGTTTTTATTCTTGTCCCTAGACTATAACTGGCAATAGATTTATTTTTTCTCATTATTACCATTTGATTTTCTAGTTTTCTTTTGGTATAATCTTCTTCATTCTCGCATTGAATCTGGACTTCTATGTTGCGTAGTTATTGGGAAGGATCATTGATTTAAGAAGTATGATTGCTGAGAGGATGAACAAGGTATTCAGAGAAAACATTGAATTTCTGTTTGACCGATTTGAATCTCAGGATCTATGTGCTATTGTGGTAATTTCTTCTTTATGCACTCTCTATCTTATTGCTAATTGTAAGTGAAATTTTCTTTCTTTCTCTTTTTCATTTTAGTTCATTCAACATATTTTGCTTCTAGGAATTGGAGAAGCTCTTGGACATCTTGCAACTTGCTCATGAATTGCTATCCAGAGATCTTTCAATAGATTCATTCAATCTAATGATGGATGAGATGAAAGAGAGTATATCTCTTGTTTCTTATTCTACTCGGCTTGCTTCCCAGGTTTGAAGTTTCCATATTTTTCTTGATGCTTTTGGATGCTAAGAATCTCTCTCTCTCTTCCACACACGCACACATTCCTACGCACCAAAGAACATTACCTCTCTCCATGTTTTTATCTACTCAGAAATTTATCCTGTCAACGGGGAAAAGTGTAAGTTTATGAGGTGCATTGTTTAGCATGCTTTTGATAAATGGAAATCCATTTATCCCACTTGTGTGTGTAAGTCAGTTAAAAAGTTATTTCTTGCTAAGGATCCATAAGAGGTGTGAGTGGACACATTTTCCTATATGTTTAAGAAGTGTTGTGGATTTAATACTGAATATCCACTCTTATCCTTCATATCTGGTGATCCAGATCCAACAGGCCAAGGCCAACATGTTAAGACTGTTGAGGCTCTGGGCCAAGATGAATGAAGTGAGATGTGGTGCAGGTGGCAAGTCCATGCACCTAGCCCACATCGCCTGGAGAGGAAAGTTAGTTGGGCTATATATGTGGCTACTGAGCCTTAGAGATCAAAACATCTTAAAACTGTGAGCCTATCGGCTTAGCGGACAATATCTTGATGGTAGGTTTGGGGCGTAACAGTACATGGGACCTCCCTGTCTGTGTTGCCTAGACTCATTTGTTGAGTATGTAGTCCTGTGACCAAATGCTTCCTTAAAGAGCACATTTGTCAAAAAAGTAGTTCACCGAGTACCCAATGTAGGTGTGCTACAATATCAGTTAAATAACAGCCATCTGTTTTCAAAATTCAGAATTATACTATAAACTCCTAGCGAAAGCAAATCCAAAATGTAATTTGTAACATAGTTCATACTTGATTGGGTATAATTTTATTCCATATGGGTTATGGCACATGTTCAAATTTATTTATGATTTCCTTATTTGCTGATATTGTACTTCTTGATTAGGTTGTAGTTTCCTTTATTGGCCGTCAGTTATTGTATTTATTTAGTAAATATGTTCATATAATGACAAAATCTGAAGATAATAACTGCACACACTAATAATATTATTTTAAATGGGAAGTCCTTACAGTCTTTACTATGTTTGATTAATTGTTCACTGCTAGTTGTTTCTTCTTTTTAAGCAAAATGTGATGGTTCATTTAGACAAGTTCTGAAGTCATGCTAAGTAAAACAAAGCTACTTTTATATATACGTATAATTCTACTCTTTTCATATTCCATCCATACATTGTGTTTTCTTGAGTTGCTTATGCCTACTTTTATTTCGATTACTTTGTTTGTGTATCTTAGATTTGGACAGAGGTGCAAACTGATTTCTTGCCAAACTTCATCCTGTGTAATACAACTCACCGTTTTGTCCGGTCGTCAAAAGTGTCCCTTGTTCCGGTTCAGAAGCCATCAGTTCCCTATGCCAAGCCAAACTTCTACTGTGGCAGTCAAGTAAGAAATTTTCAATCATGCATCACCACTTGCTTGGGTTTTCTAAGCACAATTAGTAATCATCTGTAGTTTCAGTTCTTGTATGAGGTACTGAAGACAAGAAGTTACTGAATTTGATAAAATATGAAAAACCTCTTTGATATGCACTGAAATTTAAACACTAAAGTTGATTAAGTTGTCTGATAAACATAATTTTCACTATGAAAATTATTAGTTTCTCAATTTTACCCTTCCACTCATTACAATAACTTCTTTGGTGAATATCAATCTATAATAAAGAATCATGTCATATCAATGACTATTGATCAATAAAAATACTATTAGTCTATTACTCATCATGAACCATGGTAGCTGCATCTATAATCAAACTCAAGATATCAATTAGTTTGTAATTTGATTTCAGAAGTTGAACATATCTATAGGAATGGATCTAGTTGATTAGAATGAGAAAAATAAACCATGACAATGAGTTCTGATCCAAAGAATCCCCAATAAGGCATGAAACCAAATATTCTAAATTCACATTGAACCCATAAACCCAATCAGGTCAATCTTGGGGAATTTGCACTTGTTAAATTCCCATTTCCAAGAACCGATTCTGTCCGATATTTTGACCGAGTGGGAGCGAATAAGAAAAAATCTAAATCATGCTTCAACGGGGCGGCTTCGAAGATAATCAATCTCTGGTATCCATCAATTATAGAGGCTACCATCCTCCTTAAACCCAGCAAGGCAAAAGTTCCAGGTGCATTTGATCTTGGCTTCCCTATTGATCTGGCTATGTGGCGTGGATTTTGTATTAACACTGCTGCTCCTTTATATTCTGAGGTGGAATCCATGTGGTCACTTGCTTCAGTAAATTAGGATGTGGAATGAATTGGTATGATTTGCTTTTGGAATTTGGGCCCGCAGGTTGATGGTGTTGCTTCATATCTGTGTGGTGCGGTATTTGATGGGTTATGCTTCCAGATGTTGCTTTAGTTATTGAGCTTCCAAGGAGAGAGAGGGAGAAAGAGGGGGAGAGAGAGATGGAGAAAGAGGGAGAGAGAGAGAGAGAGACTGAGAGATGGTAGTGAGAGAGAAGCTTGATAAGGCGAATGCTTCCGACTCTGCTTTTGTAGGGCACTTTTGTCCACCGATGGAAATTGTTGAAAACCATTTTGCCAAGCACATTCCACGTTAAGTGATAAGTAACTCCCTATCAAGGATTAAAATATCGTTTCGAAATAATCAAAATAGTTGAATTATTTTCGTTTTCAAAGAGATTGAGACGAATCAGTGATGAAATCGAAATTCAAATATTTAAAGATGTTTTGTAATGTTTCAACGCATTTACATAATTATTTTGAAATGTTTGAAGGTTTTTTTAGATGCTTTGGTATATTTCGACTAATATATTAGAAAAATAATTCTCAAATTTTTATTCGTTTTCATGCTGTTTTCGAAATGGTTTTGGGTCGAAATGTTTTTGTTTCTCTGGTGACCAAAATAATGTACCAAAACAAAATTTTGATCCTTATGGAAAACAGGAGCTCTTTTTAAACTCTTTTTGGAGGCATACTTAATGCATAAGTAATTACATTTGACCTCTTATCAAACCCACTTAGCTAAAAAGTGCCGAAACTTTTCAATTTATGAGATGAGTTATGTTATCAAACACACCCTCCCTGAGTTATCCTTTAATTCTAAGGGTGTCATTTTGTGCTATACACTACCTCTAGATCAATTTTTAATTACAACAAAATAACGTATATTCACCCTTGGCGATCGTAATTTGATTTTCTGTGGAAGATAAATGCATAGAAATTGTCCATAATGAGATTTGTCAATGAAACAATGCTGCTTTTTCTCTCTCTGGCATGTCATCTTTATTCAAGGAATGTTGCGATGTAAAAATGTGAATTTTGGGGAGCAGTGTTTATGGTAAAAATGGAAAATTCATGAGAGTTCCTCCACTATATAATATGTTGAATGGATGTCGTGAATGGAGAGTGGCAATTGGGCAATGAGCACTGAGTTGGAACCTAAACTACGACATGCAATAACGAGCATGATAGAGGTACTAAATCATTCTAAAAACATGGTGGATGAACATAGGATTCTTAAATAAGCTACTAAATGTCATTTGAATTTAGTGTTACCAATAAAATTACTTTTCTTTTTGTTTTGTGAAAAGGCGAATAGGGTAGAGAGTCAACACTACCACACCAAAGGTTAAAAAGTTGTTGCGCAATATATAGATTTATCGGATGAAATATCTTCATCTTAGATAAAATGAATGTGGGTAGAATCATATCATGTGTTGTGGTTAACATTAACGCAATCCTAGTGTTACTTAAAACTTCTAAAATTACACTATTGTATGCAAGTCAATTTATCTAGCAAACAGTGAAGCATGTGGTAATACCAAACAAAGAACTATGTTGATTGGAGTTAGAGAAGTACAAAATTTGTTTAATTGAATAACTCCAAGCCTAATAGTTAATTTAAGAGGGGTAAATCTCGACATTATTGGATCATTAAGAACCATCTTGGATTTCTAAAGGTGGTTAATAGCAAAAGAGGGTGAGATGTGTTTGGGCCTCTTTTTGGTCCAAAAAGGGGCAGGAAGAACGAGTAAGGGTTTGGGCTTAAACATTTGAAGGAAGCCATACTGAAAAAAGGTAATTCTGAGTCCAAAGAGTTTAGTCTTGGTAGACTAGATAATTCTAATGTTTTGGAGTAAATTGAGTCTCGGATTGTGTTGGGTAATGCCCACGACCCATCTCTCATGTAATAGCGATGTGTCTTTAATTAGGACAAATAGAATGAGGAATGTCCCGATTGAGAATTCTGGAAAGGTTTCTTGAATCGAAAACTTTCATATGCGATTGAGAAAGATGGGAAGGATTTTGTGAAAACGATGGAGAAAAGAGGAAGGAAAAATGATTGTGAAGGCAACTGAATTGGATGTGTTGGAATTTGAAGTTGTTTAAATGGAGGGAGAGTGAGCAAGAGAGAGAGATGATTGTGGCTTCTTTTGGGCTATTTTAGCAAACATATGAGGGCTAGGGAGTTAGATGAGGATGTTAGAGCATCCAACGCAAAATCAATTGGTAATAATGGGTGGAGTGACTCTTCAAGTATATAAATTAACCTTAGTGGTTTATATTATTCGATTTAAGATACAAGCTCTGTTAACATCCTCCCCCATGTGGGATTTGTGTTCTACATGGAGTCGACAAACAAAGAAACAACTATACATACTGAAAAATTAAAATGGGTAAGAGACTTGGCCTAGTGGCCACCCAAAGCTCAGTTGTGATACCATGGTAGAGTATGCAATCCAAAACCAATTGCTAATGAGTGCAATGGCCTCTCAGGTATATAAACTAACTGTGATGGTCTTAATTATTCAATTCGGAATACAAGCTCTCTTAATAGAGGAGATGTTTGAACTCAATAAGGTCTGTTCTAGATCAAAAGGGCGGCTTGAGTATGAAGATGTTGATGGCATCGAAGCATTTGAATATATGAGAACAAATGAAAATTCAAAAGGGTTTAGTTCACAATTGGTGTTGAGTACTTGTTTGATGAACTTTAAGAGTGCTCCATTGCAACAAATTTTGTGCTCTACTGAAAAATCCAAATAACCAACCATATAAATATTTTGAGGTAGTACCTTTTCAGCAATTCAATGAGCTTTTTTAGCACAAGTATTGTGATTTCTTTTCTAAAGGCAGCTTTTGTTGGATGAGTCTTTCAAGTAAGTTGTGATTATTGTCCTAAGTGTCATATTATTAGTAATCATGGTCCCAAATTCCCTTTTTTTTCTTTTTTTTTTTTCCAAAATGAAGTTCTCCTTTATGAGTTGACACTTTTAGAAATGCGTAGTCACTGTCTTGAACTAGATGGGCTTGCTTCTTTGATTATGTTTTAAGATTGCAATATCGGTCATTGATTTGGAGACACTGAGACCAGCCATGACGTCGCGGAACGGTATAAGGACTATACTCATGAAATACTAGACAGATGGCCAAAAGAAGTCAAAAATCCATGACAAATTCTTAAATTTGTAAAACAAAACAATTTGGAGAGTAAGCGTGCTATTGGAAATATACAATAAACGAAGTGAATATGGAATGTTTGGTTGCTATCAAAGATATAGTCATAGAATAATACTGGTTGGACCTAATTTGGAGACCTAATTTGAGGACTTGATTCATTGTTGTAGGATTAATTGTGAGTCCTAATATTGTATGGTATCCACGGTCAATCCAATCACACTAATTGATTAAATCCTCAAATTGAGTCTTCAAATTAGGTCCAAGAAGTGTTATTTACTAAAAACAATTATTGACCAATGACTAATGAATCCATTCAAAATTAAATTGCAAATTCCCCTTAGAACATAAATGATAATAATATTTCACTTATATTTGTGGGAAAATATTCTAACCTAAGGTTTATAAAAACAATGTTGAAGAGGACTATATAGGCTCAATTTAGTGTTCCACGTGAGCTATGAAGTACGAATATGAATACGGATACGATATGATATAGATACAACGATACAACAAAACTTAAAAAAAAGGATACGTATACGGCTAGAATACGTTAATAAAATATATATATATTTAAAATTTTATTATTATATTTAATGCAATAATTATGATTTATAAAGTGAATCACACATCAATTAAAGTTATATAATAATAACTAACCATTTTATCATTCATAAATTAATATTGCATAATAGTGTCCATGCTTAAACGAAAGAAACCATCCGATTACAAGTCAAGCAACAAAAAAAGTCCCTTCTTGTTACTAAGACGTTTCCTTAATATTATTTTTATTTCTCTCCCTTCATTTTTGAATAACATAGCTTCCATCTCTGGCTCATCAAGTGAAAGACTTGACTTCAAGCAACCCAGCATCCTCCAATGAATCAAATGCATCTCCACCAATGTCTGATAGCTTCGTAGCTCCTTCCATGTATTGTTTACTCCTATTTGATAAGAGACGAAGATTGTTGTGTACAAAAATCAAATCTTGAGCACTGTGAATTCGGAAAGTATCTGTGGAAGCATTTACTTCATATAGATGAAATCTCTTCATCCTTGTGAGAAACACAATTGGGATTTTCATCTAGCCCAGTGCATTATAATACATATATTGCAAAATTGGAAGATATCAAAACTAACTCGATTGAAAAAAAAATGAGTAAAAATTAAAAAGAAAGTTGTCACTTTGGATTTAAGGAATATGTAAGACAATGAAGAGGTGTGTTTCTTTTAGCCCTTCTCTCAACTAGAACTTGATGTACCACATTATAAAAGTTTGACCTTGCATTATTTGGCTTCCCTTCATGCCAATGTATAGTTGTCTTTACCTTTTCAGTCATTGTGTCCTATATTTCATAAACCAAATGAAGACATGGTATGTCTATTTCGCAAACCTCAACATCTCATAAATTGGCAATGTGAAACAAAGTATATAATCTATCTTATCTCACCAAATTTCACTCAAGATGTTTTCCTTCACAAATGATGCTTTCACAACATCATCTTCTTTGTAAGAAAACCATTTCTTGCTAATCACCATCACTTGAAAACCACACTTGATGAGTTTAAATCTTTTCAACATTACAATAGCATATGCAAAACGAGTGTCAACAACAACAAACAATTTCAAAGGCACAAACTCATTGAAGATAAACAACTTCAAATAATGATTCATGATGAAATTTTTTATAGTTATTAAATCTCCAACAACTTCTGTAATCCAGTGACATTCTTTATAAGTAATTGCATTCTTCTCAAATTTTTTTGCAGCACATATTCTTAAGGACAAGATTCAATGTGTACACAACAAGTGTTGTCTAGAAGATATGTTGGAACTCATTTTGAATGATTAACTGATCAGAAGAACAAACAAAGAACTATCAATAATTACTTGAACCACATCTTGAGGTCCAACTTCCGTAATTACTTGATTGATTAAGTTCGCAATAAAAAACTTATCTTTGACCTTAACCTCGCAGTTGATAGCTTTCAAGAACATTGCCCTATATTTTGATGCAGCCATCAAATTGATAAGAGGGTTTCTTTGTGAATCAGCCCACTCATTTGTAACAATGCTCACTCTCTTTTCTTTCCATGACAATTTTGTTGGGTCCAATAACTTTTCTACATGCGCCCTTGTCTTTCAAAATAGTGTGGTCTTCAATACGTTGTAACCAGGTGGTACATAATCATTAATCAAATTAGTGGCAATAAATGTATAAGAACTCTCATAATATGGGTTCCTAGCTAAATGACAAGCCACCTAGAGAAAACATTCGTGCAATATGGGAGTGCAATTCTTCCCAAACTGCCTAGGTTATGCTAGCACTAACCAGCTTAGGTCAACTAGGTCATGTAGTTGACATCCACAACGGCTTCCAACAAACCACCAAGCCATTTGAACCAATTAGAAACACCCATCAATGTTTTAACAGTTGTTTTCCATAATATCTTTTGCGTCAGCCACCAGCTTCCTAGAACTGTTTACAAAATCATCCAATGTCGTTCTTGTTAGCCAATTAAATTTGATTTGTTTGTGCCAATGTGCCAAGTCATACCCCGCCTATGGCTTAGTCTTCAAAGTATGTCAAGATGTCGTGCTTAGCCCACAGAATCATGCTTTGCTTTGCTTCATTGTGTCTGATTGTGCCCATGGTGTACTGTATCCCTTAGCCATGTGCGGGGCTTCGAACGACGACGGGTCCCACCGGTGCTTGATTCCCATTTTCTCGAGTCCCAGATTTGTGTGCCTTGTCTCACCCATGACAAGATTTGTTCGGGTCAAGGCATGCGTCAAGGCTAGGGGGCTAAGGGTTGGCAGTTGCCAGGCCAAGTATCACAAGGAGCAGCCACCCATTGTATATGCTTTAAGAGGAAAAACCTTAGTGCCAACAATGGACATAGGCAAGATGAAGAATCATAATGCATAATTTACAAAAATGCTACTGCTCTACATCCTTTGCATTTTTGCATGCTCAGCCAGCAGATTGGCTTGTTAGGCAGACAGACATGCACCGTAGTAATTGACTTTGTATCAACGGGCCTTTGGTCCAATAGTACTCCTTACCGAGTGAAGACTTTAACTTCTTGAGGTCAAGGGTTCAAATCCTCCCTCCTCTCCCTCTCCTCCCCTCCCCTCGTAAAAAAAAAGTAATTGACTTTGTCAACCGCTGACTGAAGTGTCTTAAACACCAATACCAACACGCAACCAATTCCTTTAGGAGCCATAATGTAAATTGGGATTTCTTAGACAAGCACACCCCCACCATGGCCTTGGCATGGGGTGCCTTTGTGCAAGACACCCGCATGCCACGGATTGGTCCCCTTTTTAGCATAATCTTCAAAAAATCACAGTTACTTGAAATGCTTCAATGATTTTGAATGGGAAGAGAAACCTTATCTTGGATTCAAGTTTCCATGCTCTAGATGTTCAAACCATCCCTAAATCCCAAGTTCTCTAGCTTTTCCCGCTTTTTTCTCAAGATTTCTTATCCTCTTTTCTCTAAAATATGTATGGGATGACGAATGAAAAACGAATGGGACAGATCTGGGTTTGGGGTATCCGTATGTTGGGTTTGACCCCATTTGATTACTTATTTTTTGCTTTCCTTTGGATGGCTTGCTTAACCGGTTGACCCTCCCATCCAATTACCTAGTTTCGGATGTTTTGGTTCCGTTTTTGCTTGAGATGCAATACAAAACTCATGGATCAATTTCCAATCATCCGACATGAGTCTAAATGACTATGATACTCATTGCAACCCTTAATCCAATTCCCGTTAGAACATAACAAGGTGACCAAATCCTACTCTGCTTATAAAGCCTAGCACAAATTTTAATTTTGTTTATACTTTATTTAGGTTAACCTAATGGGTCTTACAATAATTGTGCATCGTAATTTATTAATGCAAGAATCAGCTGGATATGATAATACACGCTTGCATGGCATCTTCTAAGCTTGTAGTCTTCCATTTGTATCTGTAACTCTTATGTATGATTCTCATGCTCTAAGATATGCTCGAGTTATGAATGAGATTGTGCAGGATTATACGTCTTGCACATTTTATTTTTAAGTGAATAAGATCTGGATATTTGTATTTTTTTACCTTTTCGTTCTTATTTTATTTTTTTCTGTTTCATTTTTCTCTGTTTCTTATGACAGGAATTAAATGCTGCACACCAAAGCTTTGCTCAACTACATAGTGGATTCTTTGGAATACCTCACGTGTTCTCCATCGTCAAGCTTCTAGGTTCTCGATCTTTGCCTTGGCTTATTCGAGCTTTACTAGACCATGTATCAAATAAGGTATGTTATCCTTTGTTGAATAATGTGGTTTTTTAACACACTAAACAAATGGTGTTACTCTGCTTCAGATGATCATATGCACATGCTCGGAGGGCTTTTCCATCCTTTTATCTTCTTTTTCACATGATCATTGTTTGTTATATTTTGTTCGTGAGCAACTTTTTGGTATCAAATTCCTTTTTCTTTCTTTTGGGCAAATTATGAAAACTCTTTTTCACATTACTTATAGTCTTAAAACCTACACTGCTACACATAACTCCCTAACGTTTTGTTTTAATTTGAAAACGTTAATTTTATCGTCTATATTGACCGGCATTGTCATCCATGATCAAGTTCTTGAAACTGGGAAGTGATTTCCTTCAAAAGTGAACAATTAATACCTAAAAGCCCCTTAACAGATAATAGAAACCCACTATTGCATTTCTTTCAAATAGACCCACATTTTTGGCACAAGTCCTGCGCAGAAGAAGGGGGAAAAGGGAAAGGCTGATACATCTCTCTCAGTCTCTCTCTCAGCATACCCTTTTTTGGTTCAAATCTCAGTACACACTCAAAGACCCAGATTCTATGTCGTTTGTCTCCGGACTTGACCATGCGCGCTGCCTATTCGATGAAATGCCTCGTAAGGATGTTGGTCATTGAGACGCACTTGAATTCAATGAAAATTTCAGAATTCAACTTCCAAATGAGTTCAAGCTTCCAATTTTGAACAGTGGATAAACATTTCAGTTCATCCATTAAAACCAGAAATTAATTTCATCCATTAAAGCATCCAAAAAACTGATATCGAAATCCTCTGAACTATTCTTCGATGGCCTTCTTCCTCTGCCATGTGCTGTTTCAAAAGAAGCACAATGGGAGTCTTCGACTTTCTGGTGATGCCTTTTGGCTTGAACAATGCTTCAGCAACGTTTTGCAACCCTGATGAACAGTTGTTTCACCCCTACCTGGACCAGTTTGTGGTGGTAGATCTTGATGACATTGTGGTCTATAGTGGGACGCTTGAAGAGCACCTAGGAATGTACCTCTACCATCACTCCAGTTGCACAAAACTTTACCAGCACCTCCACCCACTTCAGCATCACCTTTCCCAATTCTGACAATACAACACCTAAAGCTGTATACCCAGCCACAGCAGTTTAGGGCTCCTGGTGAGATCTACCAGATGTTTGTAATATTTGTAAAAAATGCCATGTAAGGAATACGTCTGGTAAAATGTGAAGAACACCACTAAATCTCAACACAAAGCTAACCAAAGCACACATGCACCTCTTAAACCTGAATTGCGCTAAAAGCCTCTCATTCATTGTGATTAGGCAGATGACTTTTACTACAAAAGAGGCCAGAAAGATAAAACCCTCTTTCTGTTAACGGAGTTGATGAGTTTCAAATTGGTTCAGAACGTTAGGGGGTTATGTGTAGGTTTTGAAACTATAAGTAGGCTATGTGAAAAGGGGACAAACCAAAAGGCCCTTTTCTTTTTAAGGCATCAACAACCACTTCTCTCCTTTTCTTGACCCAAACAGATTGTGATACAGCATTTTGATAAACTATCCTAAGCAGGCTATGCTGATTATATCTGAGTGGTGTTATTTGTTGATTATGTGGGCACTATATTTTATATTCGACCTTCGATATCTGCCTTCCATCTATATTAACCTTTATAAGTGCTCCCTAAAAATGGAGTGATCGTTGTTTTCAACTATAAGAGTCCACAGGTAATGTGTAAGAATTGTGGTAATTTGAGGGCATTTTTATGTTCTCAGTGTTAAAAACAACCCCATGGTAGATTTGTTCTGTTTGTTTCTTGACATTCTTTTTTTTTTCTTTATATCTGCTTGATTCTAGATTTGATTTCTCATTTTATTTAATCTGATTTGTAAGTCTGTAAACTACTTCCATTATTTTCCTGGAGAAACTGGTAATATACAAAGTATGGAAAACAAATGCAAGTACAAAAGGTTGGGAAATCCTTATGGGTGAAGTTGATCACTGAACAACTCAACACATTTTTGCTATATCCTTGTGATTGTATTTCCTTCTTTTGTCAGTACAGTATGCTGAGAAAGATCATTTAAGACATGGGAAACCCTTAGTAGCAATGGAAGACTGAAACACTATTTTCCCCTTTCTTTTTTGATCATAGGACAGGAAGCTTGGTAATTTGTCATAATTGTATATCTCTAATATTATTTTTTAACTATTGATGTCATCACCAAAGAGGCACAGGGTTCCGAAACTCTTGCTGCCTACATCTGTGAGTTTGTTTCTGGTGTTAGTTTGTGGATTTTAAGCCACTAACAAGGACTCAGAGTCTCAGACAGACCAAATCACAGAGCATACTCCATTAAGGTCGATAGTCTTTGTCAAACAATGAAGTTCTCACATTAAACTAGTTTGCTTGGTCAGACCTCTATGTAACTGCCATGTATTTTATCCATTTACATGCCTTGGATTGTAGACCTGGGTTTCTATACATGTTATATATATCATGGTTTTATTGGATATAATTGTCAGTTGGGATATGGTCTAACATTTTCCTTCTTCATCTCAGATAACTACCCTTGAACCCATGGTAACAGGACTGCAAGAATCATTGCCAAAATCTATTGGTCTACTTCCTTTTGATGGAGGTGTGACAGGTACATGGTGCTATGATTGTTTCCTTAGATTTATTTAAGTTCCTCTAATTTTGGTAAACATTGTTCAGAATACTCCAAATGCATAATGTCAAGTTTAGATGCAGACTATTAAGTCCCTTCCAATGCGGTAAATGTTGTAGCAAGTATGTTTTACGTAAAAAACATTCAGAACATATTCTTTGAGAAAATTTGTAAAATGAGAACTTGTGGGAAACATCATGGGGCAATTCGTGTAGTTGTATTCTCTGTTCTTGCTATGTAAGACAACTCTTTTATATCCTTTGTTTATTTGCTAAGTATATTAATGTCGTGCTTACATATTGATTGACTTCTTAATTCTCACTTAAGCAATCACAAACTTGCTTGATACAACTTTTTTTCTTTTTTCTTATTTTTTTGGTAAATTACATCCACCTTATCTGAGGTGTGGTCAAATAACAACTAGGCCCCTCTTGTAGGGGAAATAACACTATGTTGCCTTTTGCTTTGGTTGGCTATACTAGACTCCCTCAGTCATTAATGTGCCATTACGAGGACAGTACAAGAATAATTATGTAAGCAACTCATCCTTTTAAAATTTCAATATTGCCCTCATCAAAGTTATACATAAATCAAAATTGTTGTGAAACAATCTATATATTATGTTATTAATAGTCTAACTTCGAGTGTCCTTCAGTTTAGATCTCCTATTGAGTATCTCTCTAAGTCTTTCTCCATTCCTTCCATTTAATCCTTGGCTTCTAAAGTGATTGGATGTGTTTGTTTTGTCAATGATTACAGATCCTCAAGGGAGAAACTTGAGCTCAGGGCACTGCGTTGTGTCTTTGTTGGTTATTCTTTCACCCAAAAGGGATATAAATGCTATTATCACAATATCAAAAAATGTATGTTAGCATGGATGTTACTTTTTCGCGAATTTGAGCCATTTTCTACTACCTAAAAATCTTTTCTGGGGAAGAATACCACTATAGAGGAAGCGATGTTTTGTCAAGCGCCTCTTCTTCAATTGCTTGTTCATTGGGATGTGACTCAGTGGGAAGGAATAACTTATGGAAAAAAAAAATAGTGATCTCAGTGATACCAATGGCGTTCACCTTGGTAAGGATAATCTAAAGTCTTATTCTCGGTGCCAAAAGATGCAAATTACCTATGTGCAGCTGAATCAATTGACTTCTCCTACTCTAGTTCCATCTTCCGCTGAGTTGTTAGGTAATGAACCTTTAGATTTTACTCCTGTTATTGATAATCCTATAGTTGATGACTCTAAGCTTCCTATTGCAGTCAGAAAGGGTGTTTGGTTTGCACTCAACATCCTATCTGTAACTTTGTCTCTTATGATTCCTTGTCTCTATCTTATTGTACTTTTGTTTCCTCCTTGCTTTCTATATCTATTCCTTAGAGTTAGAAGGAGGTTATCACTGCTCCTTGGTTGAAAAAAGCTATGGTAGAGGAAATGAAAGCCTCAAAAAAAAAATGATACATGAAAGTTGGTTCCTATTTCTCCTGGAGCAAGAGCAGTAGGGTACTAATGGGTGTTACTTTTAAACAACAAGTTGATGGGACTGTTGAGGGGTACAAAGCTAGACTGGTTGCTAAGGAATTCACTCAGACATATAGTATTGATTATCTTGAGACTTTTGCCCCTGTGGCAAAGATGAACTCTATACGTGCTCTTCTCTCATGTGCAATTAATTTGGGGTGGAATTTGTAGCAATTAGATGTAAAGAATGTATTTCTTCATGGAGATTTAGAGGAAGTGGTATACATGTAGATTCTTTCATGTTTTTCATCTTAAATAACTGAAGGGAAGATGTGAAAGTTGAAGAAGTCCTTTTATGGATTAGAGCAATCTCCCAGACCTTGATTCGATAGGTTCCTTAAAGTCATGCTAAAATTTGGATATAGACAAAGTCATGCAGATCGTACTATGTTCATTAGACAAGTTAATGACAAGATTACAATTCTTATTGTATATGTGGATGACATAGTGATAACGGGGAATGATGACCATGAAGTTTACCAAATTGAATGTTCAATTGGTTAAGGAATTTGAAGTCAAAGACTTGAGTCCATTACGGTACTTCTTTGGGATTGAGGTTGCAAAGTCATATAATGACATTTCTATCTCCCTACAAAAGTATGTTCTTGACCTTTTTGAACCACCTGATATTTGTTATTGTCATTTTCAATTAGAACAAACTGACGAACGTCATTTTATGGTGTTATTTCCCATAAAAGGAGTATAGTTATTTCACTGAACCTCAGGGGAGGTGGATATATTTTTTTTTTTTTTTTTGTGGGTGGAATCTCTTTTTAGTTCAAAGGATCAATATAAACATAGATTTACTCGATCTAAGAGCAAAAGTTATATTTTTGATATATCTTACCATAGGGCCGTAGTTGATATTATGTGAAATTCTTTTTAAACTTCTCCATGCTAGTCCTACTCTTTTTTGTTCTCTTTTTACAGTAATCATTGCCACTTAGTCGCTAGCATTGGAGGATTGCCATCTTAGTTTGTGTTTTATACACTATTGCCTTGGAAGTCCCCTTTATGACTTCCTGGTTGAAAGTTTTTCTCCCTTTGTCTTCATTCTTGCATATCTCCTGATTTGTCTATATCTATGGTTCAAGGTTATTATATTGACCATCGACTTTGAATGTACTAACATTAGTCTTGGCCAACACGCAAAAAATGCTAGATAGAAGGCTTACCAAATTCTAAAAATATCATAAAACGATTTGAAAAATATAAACAAAATCCATGCATCAGATGAAAGGGAAATGAAGAACATGAAGACACAGATGAAATGGAAATAGAGGGAAAGCACTATACAAAGCCTTTTCTAGAAATAGAGGATAAAGAACCATTAGAAACTCTCATTTTATCCTTACAAGAACAAGGAGTAAGAACAAGAAAGTTTAGAGGAACCCGTCAAATAGTCAGTAGTTGCAGAATTAATTACCCAAATGCAGAATTAATTATCCAAGGAGAACAAGAGACACTGAGAGCATATTATGCTTGACATCTTGGGAGAGAGCACTAGTATCAGTAAAAGGGTTTGAGGAAGTCTAAAAAATATGAGTTGGAGACCGCACAGTACCACTACGACCAGCTCCACGCCCTCAAGTAGGACGACCATATAACTTCCAACTGTGCTTTCCAGTATTGCATTCTTTCCTATAGTAATCATATTTCAACAAATCACGATTACCAGCATTACTCTTTCCACTAGTCCAACCAACATTACTATTTCATGGGAGTAACAAACAAAGCAAAAAGATCTTGACTAGGAGTGTATACCATAGCCCTAAGCCGACTTTCCTCTTGCTGAACGCAAGCATATGCCATTCTCAATGTGGGGAAAGGAAATAGACCTAAAACCTGAACTTGACTATATGATCATACTCCATGTTAAGGCCAACAAGAAAATCATATACCCACTCTTTCTCCATCATCTACTAAAAGGCAGCTACGTCCTTAGTACAAACAACCTGAAAAAATCTGTCAATAGTCAAGTTCCTGCAACTAACCAGTCAATTTAGCATAATAATTAATAAGAGGTCTGTCTTTCTAATCCAATCCACAAATCTTGTTTCTCAGTTCATAGACATGTGCATCATTACCCTTCTATGAGTATGTCTGTGCAATTGCAGGCCAAATCTTTGTATTGTGTCCATAAACAAGAAAGTGTGACTAATAGAGGGCTGCATTGAATTAATTAACCAAGGCATTCTCCATTTCTCTCCTGATGGTCCATCTGTCATGGGATCGTTAAGAGTTCGTGTGATATAACTAGTTAGATGACGTGTAGTAATAGCCATATTGCATGATCGTGACCAAATCAAATAGTTGATGCCATCCAACTTAACCAGAATAATCTGAAGGAGTGGGCTATCTCAAACAGTCCCAACCCGACTCAACCCATTTGCCTCGGTGTCATCGGAAGTCTTACTATTTTTGCCATATCCACCAAACAAGGATAACACCCCCAAATATCAAAGAACTAGTTCAATCACCTACAATCCTACAAAGACACGAAATAAGTTACCCACACAATAAAAGCTGAAAAAGGAGACCAAATCATATCAGAAAAGTGTTTAAAGGGTACAAAAATTGCAGTTTCAGAAAAAAAAAAAAAACATAAGAAACATCTTAGATTTGGCCCAGGAACCATCAAATGGATCAAACAATAATTAAGTAATAACAAGACGGTAATTTGCATCCCAAGGGAGCTATTCAAGCCATCAGAGTATATCAAATAAGCCAAAACGATTTTGGAAAAATAGACCAAAATTATGAAAAATTAGAAAAAAAAAAGAAAAATAAGTCTTCTAAACTTGAAAAATTTTTAGTAGTTTTCTAGGAGTATTTAAAAGTAGTCGATCATGCTGAAATGTTTTTAATTTTTTATAGGGTTCAGCAAAAAATGACGACAAAAACTGTGGGAGGAAGAAAGAAGATTTACATTAGTGAAAAAATGATAGAATAAAAATAATATCAACTAACGACGGATCAAACTCTGTTAGAATATGAAAAGAGCATAAAAGAGAAGATGTAGAGGGGACGAGAGTTTTGAGAACGTGGGGGATATTGAGAGAATGCCCCAAGAATCATATTAGGGTTATCTCCTATAGCCTCCTATATTTATAATAATATGACTCAAAGTACATAAATACCCCTCATGGCATATAAGACATCTCTTAATAGTGTTGTTTCTTAATCACTTCACATTTTGGACCTCAATCTAATGGGTATACGTTGATTACATACCATGCCATATGCATCCTCGACATTGTCCATCCTACTTTAATTACTGTCTCCTGTCTCTCTTTCCCAAATATTATTCACTACAAATACTAAAAGTGTTCACTCTTAGGTTTCTCTTAATCTTCTATCTTTACTAATATTTGAACTTTGACTAATACTACAGTTTCAGCCCATGTATTCAATTTTATTTTTTTTATTTATCCTAAACCTTTTTGATTCTTAAGTTTCACTACAAAATTCCTAGTTTGTTGTTAATTCCTATTTTAGTTTTGTCGATCAGTATGATTTTATTGACAAATAATATATACCATGTAATGTCATTCTAAATGTGTCTAGTCAATTCGCTCATGATAAAGGCAAAGAGATCCACATTTAAACTGGAACGTTGATGTAGACCTTCTGTAAGTGGGGGTCCACTACTTTCCCTTAAAGTTGTTCTAATTAAAGTCTTTCTCTTTATACCTTTCCATTAGTCTTCTAAGTATACATCTTCCATTATTGCATGCCCAGGCATAATCAAAATTGATTCTCAAATATGGTTGTTTCAAGTCTTAATCGGTTCTTGGTCATTCTCTTGAAAACTATCATTGCATGGCTCCTATTAACTCATTTAGTTAATCATGATACTCTGATATCCTCTAAACACTTCCAAACCTCGAAAGGTACACCATTTGGTCTTAAAACTTCTCCAATTTTCATTTTTTTAATGCATTATTTACTTTAGGCACTCTAAATCTATGAAGAAATTTATTTTCGTTAGTCTCCCTTTGGTAATTATATTGTTCAACCCTGAAGTGTTAAACTGCATTTAAGATTATAGAATGAAATGTTAAACTGCACTAGAAATGTTTCAATCCTCTTTTTCTCTTTAAGCTGTTTTTTTATATTTTATTTTTTGGACTACTTCCTTTTTGAATTATTCTCTCTTATCGGAGTAGTATTTTTCTCCTTGTTTTTGTCAGGCTGGTCTTTTTCAATTGATTGCTTCATTGGTTTTTTGATATACATGGGACTATACAGTCTTAAAAAAAAAAAAAAAATCAGTCTTTCATAAAGCCACATATATGAATTCCCAATAAGAAGCTCAAATCATGACTGGTTTCTGATGTTTTTGGCATGTAATGTATATTATTATGTTTAGGTTGTACGAGGCTTGTTAAAGAACATCTTAACTGGCGGTCAAAATCAGAACTCAAAGCAGATGTTCTTCGTGGACTAAAGGAGATTGGAAGTGTATTATATTTGATGGGGCTTGTTGATATTGTTTTGGTGAGTTTCTTGTACTCTACTTCCAGAATGCCTTAATCGGATTCCAAATTGAAGTATTAATGAACCATTAACTATATTGGAAGCAGCAGCTGCAGGAAACTAGAGAAGTTTTCTGGTAAAAGTTGAAAGTCTTATTCATTCAAGTTGTTTGAGGCATGGAAGTTATTCCATATGTATTACATGCTAAAAGGTGCTGAACTGCTTATGATTGTCTTAGAACAGTCTTCGTGGTTATCTATTGCCCCTAGCAGTGGCACTAATTTTGCCTTCCATAATTATTTTTTTGCAAATTTAGCATGAGAAGGTAAAGGGCTTTTGGTTACGGGCCAATGATAATGATATTAAAAAGGTGATCAGTGGGAATCGTATTCGCTACAAGAATATTGATGAAAGCTTCTTCAACTTGAGCTATAATTAAGTTATTGGCATCTTATGTTCTGAGTCTGCTAATATGTTCAACAGAGAGAAGTAAATACCACTCATTTCACGCAAATTGCCCCTTGGTTGGGATTAATTCCTGGTGCGGATGGGCAAATATTGCAGTCTCAAGAAGTGGGAGATAGCCCTATGGTCACTCTCTTCAAGTCGGCAACAACTTCAGTTGTGTCAGATCACAGCTGCTCAAGTCCAGCATCCTTTTACTGCATATCAAAACAGGCAGAAGCTGCTGGTACGTTAGTATAATTATTTTTATCTTCCACAGAAAGATCTTTTGCTCTTTAGCCAACCATGTAAAAAGTTGGTAGAGTTGAACATGTACATAGAATAAGTATTTATTCTACCAGTTATATATGCTATTTCATAATCAAGCTAAAGGACTCCTAGATGTCTCCAATTGATAAATACAATACAATATTGAATCTCCTGTTTCAGTATCTTGCGACTACAGCCTGAATCATGCAAAGTTGGTCAAGTGATCTTCTACGCATTGCCGAGTCCAAGCATCAAAGGCAAGAGAGTTTGGTAGCCCTACAAACATCGTTCTAGGCAATGTCACAGTTGAAATAATGTAAAGACAAACACAGTGCTCGTAATTATGTGACATGATAGAATAAGGGGCATTAAGAGTGTGACAACTTAGCTCCTAACTTGCCTACCATGCCCCAGCAGTAGTTAGAAAAGCCGGATTGCTGTATAAACTTTGACATTAAACATCCAAATTCCAAAAATGTATGAACTATGTCACTGCCATGGTTACCACAATTCACTAAACTTTTAACGATTCATGATTTTGGTACATCGATTCGAAACGTGGTGAGTTCGCAATCCAAATCACCAAAATTGACGACCTCAAATTGCAATACTAATCCTAAATCAATTCTCTTTAGAACATGTAGCACAAATATAAAATACATATTTATTGACTACATGTATATTGATTTATAATTATATATTGTTTTAGATAATAGAAAATCAAGCACAGCTATAAGATAAATGGTAACTAACTTAGTGTTTATGAATGTTTTGCAATATATAAAATTGTATAGTAGTGAAAACTTTTTGTGTAAAAGTTCCAAAACGAATTGCGACCCAAAATACTGTACCTGTTAAACCTACTCCCATCGTACCACGTACCTAAGAAAGTGTCGTACTATGTACCTGTTCCTGTACCCTGTACCAAAGCGACCCACGATCCAGGTAACATTGATCACTACACTTTTTGCCTGAAGATGTAGATTAACAATCATTATGGCAAAGCTAAAAGTTCAATTCAGTGGTCTATAGAGTTTCACTCTGGTTTTTGTTTAGAATAATGCACAAGTAGATTTCGGAGCGGGTTTGGAGTCTTGGAAATCAAATGCTTCAGCTCCCGATTGGTCAATGTATGGTAGAGAAGGAGATGTGAGACAGGAGTGAGAAGCTTTGGGATAAGATGAATGTCAAGTTAAACCTCCCCAGGGACAATGTGTGAAATTCCATGAACTAAGAACTGGCAGCCAGTGGTGAAGAAAGTGCTTCCAGCCACTGATACTTCAGAGAATGTGCTGTGAAACAAGAAATGTGTTGGAGACATAATTTGGAAGTGTTATGGCTCTCAAAAGGTGTTAGCGACACAAATTTTTATTCTCATAGAGTGGGTAATGTTCATATATAGATAGCCTAAATTCTAGATGATTAATAAATGTAATCCCTTCTCTCTCTATATCTATTAATCTACTACATGGATTATGCATTTATCTTGAGACATTTCAAGAATGAAGAATGGCGGTGTTTGGATGTTTTCACTCTTCATGCATGAATTCCCCAATCTTATTTCTGTCTGATGATCTGGCCTTGGTGGCATGCTCACGTTGATGACAAAGAACTCAGTGACATCATTTTTCCTTATTTATTTACCTATTATTTTTGTAGTTGCTGCTGCTTCTGCTATTTTCCTTTCCGAGTCCGGTTGTTGAAAATATTTACGAGTCATTTGGTCGTCTGTAGCCTTTTAATATCCATCTTGGTATTTTCATTCCCTTTTTTATGTATTTTCAAAGGTCATTTATTTGTCAACTATGGGATTTATTTTCTTGCCTTTGCTGCAGACCTGTTGTACAAGGCTAACATTAATACTGGAAGTGTGCTGGAATATGCACTCGCATTCACAAGTGCAGTGTTGGATAAATATTGCAGTAAATGGAGTGCTGCGCCCAAGACAGGGTTCATTGACATTACAACTTCAAAGGACTTCTATCGCATATTCAGTGGACTCCAAATCGTAAGAGAAAGTTTAAACTCTAATGTTTTTCCTGAATAAATTCTGCATAATCTCAGGTCTATCCATGCACTAAGTAATACCTAATACTAAATTTTGACTGCTTCCATAACTTTAGTGGGCTCCATATTCATCAAAGTGTTGATAAAATCTTTGTCTCTTCTAGCTAGCCTCCAGAAGTCCATAGTTTGTCCTTGGATTTGGCTTCAAATTCCTAGAGAATTTCTTTTGTTATTCAAGTAGTGACTGGTCAGTGATTGCTATTTACCTAAATAATTATGTTAACAGCATAATGAGGATAGCTGAGTTATGAGGGGCATAAAATTGAGAAATAATTAAAGTAACAATAATCAAAAGAGGGGGAATTCGTTTAGTGGTAAACAATCGGTCCAATAATCTAGAGGTTTTAGTTTCGGGTCTGAGTCGGGCGCTTTTGCAAATAATATCAAAAGTTAGATTTGTATCAAGTCTACCCTCCCAGGTGCTTTAATGGGGATTCAATTGGGTATTATACAGTGAAAGTCCATTGTTACGTGGAACAATATTGGACAAATGATCTATTAGGTTTTTCTTGAAACTGCTATGGAGTTTTTTTGCCCTTCCTTTTATTGTTAACAAGAAACATGGAAAAATTCACCAGAATAAGCAATGTAGAAATCTTTTGATGGTTATAGACTTGATATGCTTGGATAATGGCAACGTGTTTAAGCGGGGGAGGATATTTTGAACAGATCATTGCCCTTGATTGGTTATTTTTGTTTGTCAAAGGTTCAGAACTCGCCTTAGATTGTTGTTTTGACATGTCGGATGGTACTATGACTTCTAGCATTGAAAGGGGTGGATTGAGTCGTTGAGGGACTCTTGCAGATAACTCTTGTCGTCAAATCAGTTCGAAGGAGTTGGGTGGAAGCAATTATTTGGCATGGCTACGTGTTTTTTTGTTATTAGTTCAAGTTATTTCTTTGGATGGGTATCTAACCAGAGATACTAGTAAGTTGAGTGAACCGGGTCCTTCCCTTTAGCAAATGGACATCTGAAAATACCCTAATTATGAGTCGGTTACTAAGTTCAATTCAATCTCATATCAGTCGTGGTTTTCTATTGTTTGATATTACCCATAATGTTTAGATTGTTGTGTGTCACTTACTCTCAAAAAGGCAATGATACCATGGCATATGACCTTTGAAAGAAAGTTTCCAAGACCAATAAGAAAGACAAGCTCCTTATAGTATATTATGCTGAGTTGACCACTTTATAGGAACAACTTGACTACCCCTAGAATTTTTCAGGCAGATTGTGATGGTGACACAACAAAGTTTCAATAGTTGGTGGAGAAAGAACGTATTTATGACTTTCTGGCTGGCTTTAACATTGGGTATGATCAAATCGGGTTTAGGTTATCGGTCGTAATCTATTTTCCACCTTGTGAGAGGGCCTTTTGCTATGCTCAGCTGGAGGAGAGAAAGAAATGTTATGGGTTTTGCATTCATTCAGGAGCAATTTGCTTTATTTCTTATTCCACTACGTGATCTGAAATTAGCCCAATCCAAGACTATTGATGAGGATGTGCTGAAGTGTGATTACTATGGGAACACAAGATATGCAAAATTTTTTTGTGGGAAGTTGAATAGGTGTCCCACTCGTGGACGCGGTGGTGGCCTAGGTGGTATTGTGTTGTCTCACGCTCATTTGCCTTTGTCTTAAGAGACATCATCTCAGTCTGGTGGCAATATTTCTGCTACTTTTTCTTTGGATGAGATGTAGACCTTTAGACATCTAATAGCTTGAGTTGATGTTTCATCAACTATAGTTTCTAAAACTGTTTCTTCTTTTAACTTTGCTCATACATGTATATCTGTTGATGTTTTCGTCCTTATGTGCTCCTTAGATAATATATTATGGAACCACTGACCATATGATAGGTTCCTTTAGTCTTTTCTCTAGTCACTTTCCATGTTCTGGTAGGGAAAAACAAGAGTGAAAGATGGATCTTTGTCCTCTATTTCTGTTAAAGGTTCAATTAATTACTCTCCATCCATTTCCCTTGCATCTATCCTTCATGTTCCTAATTTTTTTACTAATTTACTGTATGTTAGTAGTATTACACAATTCTTGAATTGTTCAATGATATTCTTCTCTACTCATTGTATCCTTCAATAGCTGGATATACAATCATATCATTTACCTTTGAGTGTCCTTTAGTTTAAGTTATCCATTGATGTACTCTCTGAGAGTTTTTCTATTCCATCTGTTTCTTTCATTTCTCCTTAAGTTTTTGGGTGTGTTTCATTCCTATATGATTTCAGATCATCTAGGGGGAAACATGACCCCAAAGCTTTGCAGTGTGTTTTTGTTGGTTATTCTACTACCTGGAAAGGATATAAATGTTGTCATCCACGATCTCAATAGGTGTATGTTAGCATGGATGTAACATCTCTAGAATTTGAGTCCTTATTTCTTACTTCTCAACCATCAATAATGAGGAAGAGATGGTATATCAAGAGCCTCTTCTTCAAATGCCTATTTAGTGGGATATTAGTAAGGGGAGCAACAACTTATGAGGCAAAAAAGTGATACTAGTGGTCTGCCTAATCTGAAAACTTATTCTTGATGTCAAAATGTACACCTTACTTATGTGCCGCTAAATCAATTACATTCCCCAACTCTGGTTTAAGCATCTTCCATTGATTTATCAAGTAATGAACTTTCATCTATTAGTTTTGTCGTTGATAATCCAGTTGTTTATGATTCTGAGCTTCCTATTGAAGTCAAAAAGGGTTTCAGAGCTTGTACTCAACATTCCATCTATAATTTTGTCTCTTATGATTCTTTATCTTTTTTCCTATTATATTTTTATTTCCTTCTTCTATATCTATTCCTCAGTGTTGGAAAGAAGGTATCATTGATCCCAAATGTAAAGAAGTTATGTCAGATGAAATAAAATCCTTGAAAAAGAATGACATAGACTAGTTGCTAAGGGACTCACTCAAATATATAACATTGATTATCAGAAGACTTATGCCCATGTAACAAAGATGAACTCTATACGCGTTCTTCTCTCTTTTGTAACTAATGTAAGTTTCAGATCCTACAAGGTGGTGTGTAATGTGAAGATCCCACTAGGATTTTCATCCGAGATAACTGAAGGGAATGTGTGTAAGTTGAATATGTGACACCCCAAAATTCGGATGTTCGTAATTACCCCGTTGATCACTCATCAACCCGCGGAATACCCCTAGATACCGTGTAATGTGATACCACGCCGTTATGCCCCATTTACCAGGATTCATAACTCAATAAAATTTGGACAGTCTCTTTTGTATGGGGAGTTTTACCTAAAACACAACGTATGCAATCAAATAACATTGACTACACCTGGTTCATTCATCCATACTCAATTGCATAGTATCAGATACTACCATAATCATCATCACTACGTACATTTATTCATAAAAAAATAAATATCTCAAAAGAGTTTCGTATACATGTCTTTTAAATATAAACAAATTTTTGTTACAAAAATTATTCAAGGGCAAAAGTAAACATATACAAAGGACTACGACGTCAAATTATGAGCCACAATCTGACTTTGTCGTCAAAGCGGACTAGTAGGAGGGCCTTGGTAAAAGCCTGTGATGCACCTGAAAATTGTTCCCATAAAGAGTGAGCCAACGTTCAATAGGGTAACTCCTATAGAGAATATTTCTCAACCCAAATGCATATGAAATGTTACATGTAACAATCATTTCGTGCATTCATTCAAATATGTCTAATTATGAACAAATGTCATTAATCATGTCATATCATGAGATGAGACTCACGCAAGCAAAACCAACACCAAGCTCCATCCCAAGCTCTCACAACACATCCAATGTCATGCGTATGTATCCGGGCATTCTAAGCCCCCGTCATTGGTGTTATGTACATTCAATGATTAATTAATTCATTTTCCTGTGTCTTTTTAGAGAGATGAGATGATTTATGATATTTTACCAATAGAACATCATATCATCAACAGATTTTCAAGACATCCCACCTGTGGCTTTGTTTTTGCCGTTATATTTTTCTGGAATTGCACCGCCGGAAAGTGTATAAACCAAGTAAGCAGGTCTTACACCCGTGGGAGAATCTAGCTCTTCTTGTTATATCCCGACACGTTTATCCATTTAATTTTTCGTGAGACTCAACCGGACCTTGGTGCAACTATCCCGAGCCCATGATCAACCACCTATTGGTGATTGATTTCATACCATGCACACACTGCCTCCCATGTCAATGCCCATGAATGTAGTGCAACCCATGCATAAATGCAATACAATGTACAATTGCTTTTAGTACCATTTACAATGTACATGACATAATGAATGTAATATAATGACATTTTCAACACAATCCCAAACATATTATGTAAGATAATCAATTCAACTAACATACTTGTATTCACTTAAGCATTTAAACAAACACTTAGATGACACATTAATTTACACAACTAGTGTCATACCCTAACTCCAAGGGCATGACCGGCCGTGAACCATAGATCCATAACTTATGGAACACGTAAGTCTAACAATAACTAATAATATAGGAGTGAAAAATAACATTAACACTAAATTAATCTCATATCGATATGTTAAATTTAACATACCTAAACCTGTTTGCCCCGATTATCCAAACAAGTAAGGAGGGCTATACGATATATGCTATGGAGGTCACAACACTATTAGTCACCAATCAATTTCCTGAGTCCGCTATTGACACTCCAATCATTTACCTAAAAAAATATTATTTTGAAAACATGAGTTAAAAAGCCCAGTGAATGGAAAGGTATGTATATTCAAAATGGCTGAAAAACATATTTGACATACGACATGTAATCAAATATTTAGAAAAATAACCTCATCAAGATAACCAATTTCTCAAGAATAACACAATCAGGTTTCAACAAGAAATCATACCATAACGGTGAATCATATCATAATGGTGGAGACTGTTTGATATTCAATAATCGATAGGAATCAAATACCAAATACAAGAAAATACGT